ATCCAACTGCACCATGGCCAAGGAAGAAAAATGGCGCGGACAGCAGCGAGCTCTTGCGCAGCATTGCGCAGACAGCGTCCCAGTGGCTCTTGCGGTCTGCAGCCAATCCGAATCCCAGGATAAGGCCTGCGTGGCCTCCTAACTTAAGGAGGTCTGCTGGACCTCCTAATTTTGGAAGGGTTGGATTTTTTTGAGGAGGTCCGGGTGACCTCCTAACTTTGCAAGGGTTGCATTTTAACAAATTGAATTAATCGGTTTTGTTTTTAGGAGGCCCTGTCAGCTCTTGGATCCTTCACGACATGGCAGGAGTTCGAACAAGGATAGCCTGTGTTTGCTGAAGTGCTTTTTGTTTTGAGATGTCGTCTGTTTTCTGAAAATTCATGCGTAGGCATAATTCTATGTTTCTCACCGGTGCAACTCCCAGATAAGAAGACAGATGCATGCCGTAAGAGCTGCGAGCACATGGATCCACAAAGCTGTCAGCAGTTTTCGCCAGAGAAAAAGTTTCACAGCTGCAGGTGTCGGGCCGCTCGCAGACTTGCTTGGCCTTTCGCTTGTTCTTGTGCTCGTTCCCGCAGCTCTTTAGACTCAAGGCTCTGCGTCTGGGAGAGTTTGCGTTTTGGAGTTTAGGTGCAAAAGTTTGGGATTCAACATTGTAGGTTTGAGCTCTGGAGTGCAGAATTTTTGGATGTGGATTGCAGGGCTCCAAGCAACCGTAGCCGGCTGATAAGTGGCGCAAAGATCTGTCGGAGGCAACGTGTCCGCGTGCCTTCCTTATCCAGGTTCGCGGGGATTGGACGTTTTACAAGCAGACCTTGTACGTTCCAGCCTAGAGCCTGGGTCGCATTTACTGCGTGCGTGCCAGGAGGCCCACGCGACCGGTTCTGTAAGACAGAGCTGCATTAAGATCCGTCGGCTTGATGTGGCAAGATTTCCACCACTGCGTCTGGCACTGTCTTGTTCTCAAAGCCTTAATGCTCATGTTCTTGCCTGCGTGCGTGACGTCCTTGTCCCGCACAGTTTCTCTCGTCTTGGTCATCTTGCGCTTGCCCTATATATATTGACGCTCACCAGCCTTGGAGAGCGCGCGTTCTCGGGCGTCCTCCATGTCGCACTTGGAATCCCATGGCAATTCCTCCAGGATGTTCTGCCAGAGCTTTTTCTGGCACGAAGGTCTTCTGTGTGGCAATCTCCCAACCTTAGTCAATTAATCCAATCCTCCAACCCCCTCCCCAAAGGAAAAAAACAAGTCAAGCTAAGACAAAGGCGGCTGAGAGCTCCAACCTTGCGCTTGCCGACTCCTTCTCCAAGACCTTCTCTTTGGAGGCCCAGACTCGTCCGCGATCGCTTTTCCAGCTGGCCAGCATGTCCATGCGCTTGTCGGTGGCTCCTCTCGGGAGGGAGGCTTCCAGTTCCTCGGGGTTCGCCGTCTGCCCTGCAACCACCTTGGCCAGCTTGTTTGCAGCCGCTTTACCTTGCGCGACCAAGTTGCTTAGCTTGCCCTTGGTGTCCACGGAGCCTTCGACCGCTTCCGCCGTGCCCGGCTCCTTTTTCACTTTCACAAGCGCACGACCTTCGCTGGCCCTTGGCCTTAGCCTTGGACTCTGCTTTGCCACACCCACGACCACGTTCCCTGCCATGTCCTCCTCCACGCGGCGCTAAGTGCAGCCACATGCCCATCATGAGCACACCTCCTGCAGAACGCGTGCAACAAGAAGAGGAGGCTCTTTTAAGTCTCCTTGTGCAAAATCCGCAAGGTGAAACCAACAACCCTGTATAAGAGCAACCAACTTAAACCCTACATCCTATAGCCCATGCAGTCTATGTATAAACTATTAAAATCATAAAGCACTGCGGCCCAAAACCTCACTCCCCATCAGGCACCAGCCTTG